GTATGTATGTATGTATGTATGTATGTATGTATATGTATGTATGTATGTATGTATGTATGTATGTATGTATGTATGTATGTATGTATGTATGTATGTATGTATGTATGTATGTATGTATGTATGTATGTATGTATGTATGTATGTATGTATGTATGTATGTATGTATGTATGTATGTATGTATGTATGTATGTATGTATGTATGTATGTATGTATGTATGTATGTATGTATGTATGTATGTATGTATGTATGTATGTATGTATGTATGTATGTATGTATGTATGTATGTATGTATGTATGTATGTATGTATGTGCATGTATGTATGTATGTATGTATGTATGTATGTATGTATGTATGTATGTATGTATGTATGTATGTATGTATGTATGTATGTATCCTTGCACTTCCCCTTTGCTCCCCAGTATTTCCCGCAAAAAAAACACGGTTTTTCCAGCGTTTTCGCAAAGAGGACGTCCAAAAACATTGAGTTTTTCCAGATTTTCGGCAAAAGGATGCAGGAAGCCCAAGCCAGCAAAAAAGCCGGCAGGGGGAATCGAGCCTGGGACCCCTGTTTTGCGACACCGGCTCCCCGAAGACTACGTTTAGTGGAACGTCATCAAATTGCCGCGCGGTACGTGGGGGACCCCCCCCCCCCTCCCCCCCCAAAAACCTACGTAATAGACGTCGGGCGGGGGGGGGTTAGGGGGGGGGTTATCCTCTATCCTCTAGTAAGTATCCGACACGCCGAGCAATGTCGGCGGATATCCTTTTTAGTATTTACTCACCTCACAAAACCCTAATAATATCCTAATAAAACCCTCGTAAAACCTTTTCTCAAGACCACCCCAAACCACCCACAAACCTATCTAAACTCAAACCCCAAAGCTTTCAACTGATACCAAAAATATCAAACCTAAACACACCTGAGAAGAAAGGGCACGAAAGCCAGCTTGTTCCCCGTGCAAGTGCCCTTCAGCGCGGGAAATCGCCCTTTGCGTCCCAGCAGCACCAACCCCCTCGAAAGGGAGTCGAGAATGCTGACATCCCCAGCATCCCCAGGCCACTCCATCCAGGAAGCCCAACCCTGCCCAGGGCCACCTGGAAAGCGGATCAGGCTATGCTGAACTTGAATAGCACCGTTAAGAGTTCTTAACGTGCCTGTGGAGCGGGCAGGGGATGACCCAGCATCCGGCGGCCGGCATTCAGGACGTCCCCAGCATCACCAACCCCCTCGAAAGGGAACTGTCGAGAATGCAGGACCTGAGCTGGACATCCCCAGCATCCCCGGCCCAGTCCATCCAGCAAGCCGAAACTCCTCCAGGCGGCCAAAAAAAGCTCGAATTGGACGCGGGAAATCCAGTGTTGAGCACCAAGTCCCTCGAAAGGGAAGCATCGAGAATGCAGGACCCAGGCCCTTCAGGCCGAGGAAAGCCGCGCCAAACGCCACCCGCCGCCACCGGTCGACCGGGCCCTCCCTTCCAGTGGGAGCACTTGTCTGCCTAAGCTTTGACTCCCGCTGGGGCATGTCATGCAAGTGCAGGCAAGGCAGAGCTGGTACGAACGCAGGCGGCTGGACTGGACATGCCGACTATTGTGTGCACCGGAGAAAAGACAAGCACACAGACATGCGCAGCTACAACAAGAAATAATGCGAGCTGGATGTCCGTCGCAGCTCTGTTACGAACGCAGGTCGCTGAACTTGACATGCCCAGCATCCCTGCCCAGCCCCCTTGGGTATCTTCCCGCCGGCCCCGATGAGGCGCAGCCCCGGCCACACCCTCATGCTCTGCGGGCTGTTTTGTGTTTGGCTACACCCATTTTGAAGCGTCACCGATTCGTACCACCCCAAATCTATGTGGATGACTTGTGTCTCCAGCTCCAGGAGCTTTGAGGCCTCCGGCGCCAGGGCCCGGTTCGCCGCTGCGTTGACGGCCATGCGCTTGCTGTGGCTGATGACCAGCGTGGTGTCCGGCCACCCGGGCTTGGAGGGGTAGAGCTCCTTCAGCCTCGCCTTGGCCTGCTCCAGCGTGGGGCACCCCTCCTTGCCGACCCGCAGCCACTTCACGAAGTTGAAGATGCCGGGGTCGGAGCGCATGTTCTCCGTGCGCTCGTGCCGGTGCCCGCAGGCCAGGTCGCGGATTAGTTGGCTGTGCTCCAACGGCGCGCTGATGGGCCGCCCGGCCCAGGAGTCCAGCACAGCCGGCAGCTGTCGGAAGTCGCCCAGCAGCAGGAACTTCGCCAGGTCCGCCCAGAGCGCAGCGCCAACCCCCTCGACACGGAAGAATTAGAAATGGGGCCGCTGAACTGAAAGTGCCGAGCAATCGCAGGCTATTCAAGCTTAACATCCGCAGCATCCCCCACCCCCTGGGAACGGAAGTGCTAAGAATGCAGGCCGCTGAACTAGACGTCCCCAGCATCCCCAGCCCCCTTGAGCTTGACATACCCAGTAGCACCAACCTCCTTCCCCCTTCGTATGCCCGAAGCACGGCCCAAAAAGAGCCTCTGAAGACTGAGTAGTTTGTAGAACAACAAGGATGCCCAGGGCAGCCTGTGCTGAACTTGAATAGCACGTGCCTTTGGAGCGGGCTGGGGATGCTGGGCACTTTCACTTCAGCGGCCGGCATTCTTGACATCCCCGCCCCAAAAAGTGCTGAAATTGAACGCGGGAAATCCCCCTTCGCATGCCCGAAGCACGGCCTAAAAAGAGCCTCTCCGATCACCAACCCAGGACCCAGCATCCCCAGCATCTCCAACATCCCCAGCATCCCCAGCCCACTCCATCCAGGAAGCCCAACCCCCCAAAAACTGCTCAAATTGGACGCGGCAAATCCCCTCTAGTATGGCCCAAAAACGGCCCAAAAACGTCCTCCCCGCCCGCACCCCCCTATTACTCACTTCGTTCGCCTAAACTGAACTCAGCCTAAGCCTGCAAAGGAGGCTGGCTTTCGTGATTTTGCACTCAACAACCTAAAATAATATAATTTACATAAACATTATCATATGTCCTTTCGTAAAATAATTAAATACAATTCTAATATAAACAATATCCCCATAACTAAAAAATACAAATAAACATATATTCAAACCAATCATCCTCTATTTTTTAATAAAAATAAAACCAAATCATAAAAGATCCCAATTTCAATCCAATAATTCTAAATTAAAACCTAATTTTACATAATACAAACTCCTACCATTAAAACATGTCCAACATATCGTTCGATAGCCAAAAAAACGCTCACAAGCGCAAAAAGCGTATCAAATAACAGCTTTAGCTCAGATCCAGGATTAACATGCTATTTCTCCTGAAGCAGGTAGAACAACATATCTCGCCAACGAAAGTGAGAAATAGAGAGGTGTATTTCACAAGTTCACCTCGAAGATTGGATGCAGCATGCTGCCGATTCCCATAATTTTTCAGACGTTCAGGTAAGGGGAAATTGAACAAGCCTAACGAATAAATTCCCCCATTCCTTCTTGGCTTCAGCCTTGTACAGTATCAACAAAAACTGCTGCATCCTGGTGACTGGCTGCTTGTGCAAGCCATTTGCTTCAATCACCGAAGCCAAATTCTGGCCTCGCTCCTCTCGTGTCTGGGACTGGTTGGCACTTGAAGGAACAGCTTCCGAGGCAGCCGGCTCGAGCTCCGTAAGAAATCTCCGAGTCTGTGTCAAGCAGTCCGGCTGGGAACGGCAGCTGAGCTCTGGAAAGCTCAGTTCTGTACATGCGAATTCAGTTGCAACTCACAGCCAATTCTCAGATCCACGCCTTCGCGATGGGAATTTTTGAATGCCTTCCTGATCTCATGGCACGCAGACCAGAGTTTAGATCAAACCCTCACAAATGATCTGATCCGGCATAAATGAAGCCTGAAAACGCGTCTGGCCAAAACGGCAGCATCTTGCGCGCGCGTGTGCGCTAGCCAACCAAGAGTTGCCGTTCATCATGCACCGTCCCGCTCAAATGTGCAGCGCCTCCTTTCCCCTGTTCAACATCAATAATGCCAGTCACAAAGTTCTGATGCATGGAACAAGTTTCTTTGCACTGTCCTCTCTGGCAAGGTGGCGGCGCAACCTGAGCCCCTTGTTGCTGGATGGTTGTATGAAAGTGAATGAGCCTCTGTTGGCAACTTCACGTTGTGGCATCAAAATGATGATGCGAAGCAGTATTGTGTGTATCATCCATCATGCCTGCACCGCATATTCCTTTAACATTTTTTTTTCGCGGCTCTCTCTCTCTCTCTCAACCTACCAGCGGCTTCATAGGTGTCCTTTGGGAAAATAGATGGCCCTGCCGCATGATGAAACAACCAGGTCAACCAGGAATCGCCATCTATTCTCTACCAAAACAACCCAAAAGGACACCTATGGGCGTCCTGCTGTAAGGCGACCGCCCAGCCTGGGCTCTTCTCGTAGCTGGCGCTGGCCCTAGCCACATGCGAAGTGTGGGTGGGTCAGGGGTTGGCCCGCTCCAAAGGCATGCCTCCAAAGGCAAGGATTGAGTACGAATTGGCTCACTACTGACCTAGGATTTTTTGCGAATTGGGTCTTGGCCAGAGGTCTCCCGCCTCCTCGCCAATTTGTGAGTCAGGCGTATGACCCAGCAAGATGGCCCACGCCCTCGTTCTCAAAAACAAAACACCGCTGCATTGATGTAAGCAAGTGCGTCCTCCCCACTTGGAAAGCTTTCCTGCCCAACTGTGCTTTGGAAAGCAAACAAGCAACGAGTTCATGCAAATTACGCTTGAGCAATCCAGGGCTCACCAACTCACGTGCTCGCGTTGCCCATCCTCTGGAAGTTCGCTTGCGCAGCGCTGGGCATTATTGTCCGTGGGAAACAACAGCCCGACAGGCCCATTTTTTTGATTAATCTGCAATTTGACCGCCAGGAAAACGTTTACACATAGGATCAGTCTAGCAACAAGACAGAAAAAAAGTCCACTTGTTTTCACCCTTGACGCTTACTCGGAACAGACCTCGTGCAGCTCGCCCGGCACTTTTTGCTTGGCGCTCTTTGGACCTGTGCAACCAATGTCGGCTTTCAAATGGGCGAATCTCGGGTCAGGAGGAGATGTGAAGGACATCTGTCATGGTCAAACTTTTGAGGCTGGCGGGGAATTCGATTGCCAGACTTTCAAGATAGTGCTCCCCCACGGTGACGCTCTCCAGGCTGGGCGGCAAATTCACGCGCGCCAAGCTGTGCATCCAGTTCTCACCGAAGCTCAGGCTCTTGAGGCCCTTGCAGCATCTCATTTGTTTAAACACAAAAACACTGGGCGGGGCTATGACCCTTACAAACAGCTCGGTGTGCTCATTGGTGTGGTTGATTCCCTAAACATTGCAAGGAAAGCCTTGCAAACCCGGGTTTTGCGGTTGGATGCGTTCAGTTCAGTTGCACCTTCTTAGAGAACAAATCGTCGGAACACTTGCACAAAGGTGGTGGCACTTTGATCAGCGGGCAGGCCCTCTAGCATTCAGCTTGTGGCTCCCTCGGGATGGCCATTAGACAAACATGCCTAGCTAGCGGTTCCTGAAAACGCCGGCTCTCGCCAAGTCTCGTATTGTCGATCTTATCAGCCAAAAAAGGGATCCTGAGATGTCAGTCAGTTCAGACTGGGCGAATGGGTCATCTTTTTTTCGGCTTGACACTTCTTGACAGGGCCGAGCCAAACATGTGCCTTGCCTCCGGCAGCACCACCTTGTCCAAGGGATAGCTAAAGGAGTCCCCCAGCGTGAGGCTCTCAAGGCCCGTTGGAAGAGATGCCTCCTTCGCAAGGGAAAAAAAGGAAAACGTGGCTGCAGGTTCCATTTGGCTGCTCGAAAATTGGAATTCCCCCAAAATGGCACCTTGGTAAATGAAACCAAAGAAAACGACCTGCGTAAGCCTGGCTCTTCAATTTTGAGCCACACCCATTTGACTCAATATAATGAGGGGCAAAACAGGAGAAGAATTAAAGTCCCATGAGCTAATTGGGCTCATGACAGGATGCCAACGTGCAACCGCTGCACAGTTCATGTAATGTAATTATATGAGAAGCAAGCTAAACCTGAAATATTGCTAAGCACTCCTCCAAAAAACAAAATATAATCTAGCCTTAAATAAAGCTGCATAATATCGGTCTGTTGAACCCTAAATACCCGTTTGTTGGACCCAGACCAGCCCTTCCAGCCCGGCTGGGACGGCACCAGCTTTCCGTTCCCAAGCCAACCTAAACGCAAAATTTGGGGGACCATGTTCATGGTGTCTTCTGTATGTAAAACCGTACACAAAAACACCCCAAATAATCAGCCACGTGTACCTCCCCACGCAGACGCGTAGCGCTAAATCAAGCTGCCCGTGTTGTTAAAGCCAGTGAGGTCATCACTTCCTGGAAATGGATCCGCACAAAAACAACTACGAAGTAGCATTGTCCCTTGTAACGTTCCTCGAGGCTGCGGTCGAAGGTATCCCCAAAGGTCAGGTGCTTGAGCCCTGCTGGCAGCCGGACACCCCGAAGGCTCTGGTTAAAGTCATGGCCCAGTGTGAGGCTTTCCTGACTTCCAGTTCCAAACCAAAAGCGGCCTATTGTAAAGACAACTAAAGGACTAGAGAGCTGCTGAGCCCCAAACTTCTGGAACATGTTAAGCGAACACGGCGAGTCGCAAGGCAGGGCGGGAAGGCCAATGAGACCAGAGACTGATTGAAGTCGTCATTCAGAGTCAGCGTCTTGAGGCCGCCAGGCAGAGTCAAGTGCTCTAAGCTCTTGTTGAAGCCAAAGCCAAAGGTCAAGCTTTGCAGGCGGGAGGGCAGGGCCAGGTCTGCAAGGCTCTGGTTGAAGAGTCTGCCCAAGGTCAGACTCTGCAGGTTTTCCGGCAAAACCTCAGATGAGTGGCCATGGGGAAATAGGGCATCCTGTTTTGGTTGGCTGAGTTTGCAGGGGAACCCTTCCCCCGAAAAAAACCAAAAAAGGGACAAAGGGCGCCAGTGGGCGACAGAGAAACCAGGCTCTTCAAGTTCAGCTCCAGAAAGTCGTCCACCACCTCGATGGTAAGATGTTCCAGAGTCGCTGGAAATGTGAGGTTCTCCCAGGGGTGGTCACCACAGCAAACGCTGAGACTCCTTGGACAAAACGGCAAGCCCTATTTCGGGGTTCCCTTCTTGGGTGCTTCAAAAAAAAGAAGAGGCGACACGCCAAAGCTCCCTTATGCTCCCTTGCTTCAGAAACATTGGGAGACACCGGCAAATGTACCTTCGGCATTCTGAAGCCCCATTTCTATTCCTTCCGACTTCCGGCCGGGTGGAACAAGAGCCAAAGCCAGATAGCACCAAACACCACAACGAAAGAGAAAACACGCTTGGTTGTTCATGTCTCAGTTGCTTTCTGCTCCTGCTGGAAGTTTAACTTTTAGTAGTTTAATGGAAAACCCATTAGTTTGCAAAAAGTTGAAGTCCTAACATCCAAGCATGCACCAAAGATGTTCATTCAGTGGAGAACCTATTAAACATTAAGAGCATACAAAGGGCTCGGGCAACTGAGCAACAGGCCACAGCTCTGTCCCAAACTGGGGATGGCATTTGAGTGATGTCCAAAGAAAAACGGCACAACACCAGGTGAATGTCCCTGGACAGAGTCCCTGTACTGTCAAGCTGACCGCTGGAGGAAACAGCATGTCTATGTCTCAAGAAGGTTTGCGATTGAGGCACCGCAGCTTGGGTGGAAAGGTGATTGTCTTGAGGCGAGCCTCAGGGGTTTGCAGATAAAATATATGTGCGCCGGCGCGGGCAATTTTTCATAAGCAATGGGTTACGTTCAACAGGCTGGTTCTCAGCCTTCAAGTCTTTGCTTGGCAAACAAATCGACCCCAACATGGATCGCGGTTTTCCTGTTGGAATTCCCGAAAAAGAAAACAAACAACATGCCCACAAAAGGCAGCCTCAAAACTACCTTAACCTTCCATTCGGTTAAGACCCCTGAAAACAAAAATCCAGTAGTGATAGATTGCCTTTAAAACTAAAAAGGGAAAATAAACAGTATTCCTAAGCAAATGGAAGTAACACACCCACGAAAGGCCTCGAAGGCGTCCCCGAGCGTAAGGCTTGTCAGCGATGGCGGCAGGATCCCATCGAGGCTGTGCTGGAAGGCGTCCCCCAGAGTGAGGCTCTCGAGACTGCTGGGCAACGTCACCTGACGCGGACGACGCGGACGTGATGGACCCAGGACAAGGGGAACAACTCAAACAGCTAAAAATCACCACCTCTGGATACATTTGAATGTACCAAAAATTCAAATAAGTGACATCACCACCTTTGGGTAAATTTGGAATGTACCTGATCGCTTGCGACATGTGAAATGTGCGCCGCCTGAAATTCGATTTTTCGGAATGCCAGCGAGAGAACCGCGACAGAAAAACACACGTGATTCACTCAATACTGCTCCTAGGTCCTCCAGTAGAGAGGTTAGAGTAAGGGTGCCCGTTTTTCTGTAGTCTATTTTAGAAGGGGAACCCTCCCCCACAAAGGGTAAAAGGGCACTACTGGAGGACCTAGTCTCTTGCCCAAACACCTCAAACTGGAAAAACAAAACACATTCAGGCAGTCCAATGCTCTCGCCTGAGCGCTCCACAAAAGGGAAATCCAATCCAGATGTGGCGATCCAAAAGCGGACCCCCGCTCGTCTAGTTTCAGTACCAGGGCGCCCCAGTGAACGCAAGCAAAATCCACGGCAAAAGGACAACACACGGTAGCACCTGTACCTCCAAGCAGAGTTCGCTTTGGACAATGTAAAAGCAATCCCATCGCTTTGCCAAGTCCGGGAATCCCTCCGCTACAGACCTGCACCATGTTTCATGTTCATCCCTCCGAGGACAGTGAGTAGAGCTGGGTCCCTTCAGGCTGCTCAAAATGATGTTTGTTTGGGGGGCTCCACTTGGCAAGGTTGAGGTTAACGAACAATGACTTTCATGGACTCAGTATCAGCAGTGTGCTGGCCCCTAGCACGCATGACGAAGGGTTCCTAATAGAATGTATTTTCTTATCAGAAGGATAATGATCTTGGTCTCATTCTCTGATTCCTTATTGACTTGAACTTTGGGATTGCTCCAATCAGAACAGCGTGAAGGAACAGTCATCAAAGCACTTCTCTTCAAACATCCTTATTTAGCAGAACACGTGCTGCGTGAACAACTCGCTGAAAGCGATGGTTGGTTCCGGGCTAGCTGGCTCTTTTCTAGGAGCGCACTGTGGAGCGCTACCTCTCTGGGCAAGCGGCTTGCGTGTATACTGAGGGCTTCTTCCGTGCTAAAAGGAGAATTTGGTCGCGACTCCCAGGCCAACTTGCCCACAGCCTTGGCTTGTCATAGCGGGTCCCTGGCTCCGGGATGCCCAATTGAGGGTAGGGAGCTCATGCCACTTCCGACCTTTGCCCTTGATAGGTTGTCCAGCCCGAAAACATTGGCAGTGCCGAAGCTCGGGCTTTTCCAGCTCCCAGTGTCCCAGAAAGCCAGCGACTTTCGAAGGTACAACCGAAAGGTGCATTTGGGTGCACGGCCTCCTTTCGCAGCACCCGGAGCTTTCTCTGTGGCCTTCCATTTCTCCGGTCTCGCCTGACCTTCCGCCCCACCGCCGCCCAACGGGCCGAAGCCCAAGTCTAAAAGGCGCCGGGGCACCGAAACGCGCCCGAAAAAGAGCGACACGCGCCGCGAAACCTCTGCCTGCTGGAGGCAGCGGTTGAACTCCTCTCCGAAGGACAAACTCACCAAGCGCCTCGGAAGAAAGACGTGGTCCAAGCTCTGGCGGAAGCGCTCCCCGAAGCTCAGGTGCTGAAGATTTCCCGGGAAGTTGACGCCTCAGCAAATTCTTTCGGCTGATGCGTTCCATGGGTTGGCCACTTGTTTTTTGTTCTTCCTTTTTTAAATAAACCTTAAATGGTTGAATTCAAACAACAGCTGAAGTCAGTTTGGAAGTTGTCCAGAAAACTGCACAGCGATCAACACATGCTGGTTAACCTGCGCATGGAGATCTGTCGTACATGGAACCCAGCGTTTGTGACAGCTCAAGCCAACGGACACCCACCACCCATCATTTCGAGGTCAAAAGTCCGTTCACTTTGCCTATCATGAGTCGGACACTAGGGTTGATCAAGGGGAACCCCACAAACTCTACTCATCCTTGTATCAGTTCATGTCAAAATAAGTTCAAGCTCAAGCACAGTTATATAGAGCCTAATCCGATAAGCCAACGGAAGTGACCTGAGAAAACCCCTTCAGTCGTGAACAAACAAGTATCGACCATGACAAATTCACTCGTGGGTGAAGGCGCCAGTTTTGCCCGTGGAACTCGTGTAATTCCCGGGCGGGCGGGGGAGTGCAATGCATCAAGTTCCGTGCTGGGAAGGTATGCAGTTGCTTGCAAGGCTGGTATGACGCTTCGTGCTCCGGTTGCGAAACGGCTTCTCAGCGTTCCTTTAGGGCTCCTACGTAGGCTAGAGCAGGGTGTGCTACTGTGGATGGACAAAATCCTGCACCACCTAAGAAGCCCTGGAATCATGATTCCCTTGTCAATACCAACCGACCATGGTTTCCCATGGCTTCAAAGTGGTGCAGGATTTTGTCCATTCACAGTAGGAACCTTTCTTTACATTTCTTGTCTAAACTTTCAACCCCCCATTAAGAGGTTAATGGTCATCGCTGCAACCAAGGAAACGGGGGTCAGTTGGCCATGTGTTTGTGAAATAGGCAGATCGCACACTCCCAGCATCAACCTGCACGTGGGGTCTTTTGTTTGTGGTGCCGAATGGCCACCTTCTTGATGCCAGGCTCAAAGGCCACACTCTTGGGGGGCAGGTTGTGGGACAAAAAAGCCATCAAATGCTCGGAGGTTGGAGTTTGGAGATTCAACAACCATCGGGAGTTCAAACAGAACACCCTAAGGTTCAACCCCCATTAAAAGAACGGTGGACAGAAATGTGGATGATGACAATCCTTAGGTAAAGAATGGTGGGTATATATATATATATATATATGTATTAATATATATATATATATAGGTGTATACATATATCTAGTTATTAATATATATATATAGATATATTAGGCCGAGCCGTTGAAGTTCAAGCGACTCTTCCCCTTCCCTCGGTCCCGCGACTTCTTTTACATGGGCACGGGTCACCCAACCTCTGGCGCCGAAAAAATGATCATTCCATTGGACAGCCATGGAACATGAAACGACTCATTGCCTGAAAAATGCCCATAGATAACAAATGGTCCCATCTCAAAAATTATACACATGAAGACCATGTTGGACCATGTCATAGATTGGATGCCCATGGATATAAAATGGTGCCCAGTGTCATACATGCCATAGATCCATTGGACGCCCCTGGATAAAAAAAAGGTGCCCCGAACCCCCAAGAACCCGTCCGCCGTCAGCCGTAAAACCCAAAACCCGGGCCTTGCCTTCCAGGCTCTGATTGAAGGTTTCGCCGAGGTCCAGGCGCTGTAAGCTGCTGGGTAAGGTCACCGGCTGCAAACTCTTGCTGAAACACACCCCGAAGCTCAAAGTCTCCAGGCCATCGGGAAACACAACACCCGTCAGGCCTCAGGGCCAAAAAAATCGAAGTCACGGCCGCCAGGACAAGACTGGTGCTTTTTTGTTTCTTTTTTGTTGGGGGGGAACAGGAGCACGACATCAATTGTTTGCTCTTTGTTTGGGGGAGGAGTAATTACTGCTACATTTGTAGAAAGGCTCGCGATTCTCTCTGCTGCTTTCTTTTCCAAACCATCGGAGAGGGAAACAACTCAGCCAACATCAGCCAAGAAGCTCTGATCATAGGCAGCACCAAAGGTAAGATGGCGGAGAGACCGGGGCAGAGCCACACCCCGCAAGCTGCGGTTGAACTCATCGCCGAAGGTCAGACTTTGAAGGTTCCTAATGGCTCCGAGTTCCAAGGGACCAAGGGATCAAGGGACCAAGGCCTGGGAACCCCGGGTTTAGCGGAACTGGTGGATTTCTGGGGGTGCCCCTGTCAAATGTGGGGCTTCAGACTTGGGAGCACCTCCCTAGGATGGGTTTGTGAATCCAGGGTCAACCAGTACTTTGAGCGCTCTCCCTCAAAATTCCGAAGAAAAAAAAAGAGAAACTTGCTGGTGCGATAGCTAGGGAATGAGGGAATGAACGCAGGGATTCCCTTCAAAGGAAATCAGTCGCATGGCTTTATGGTGGTTTCATTCCCACATTCCCTGCCTCTCGCCCCGATCGAAAAAAAAATCCTCTTCGAGCGGCTGGGGCAGGGCTATGCCGATGAGCCGTTGGTTGAAGCATTCTCCGAAGCTCAGGCTTTCCAAAGTCTCCGGGAACGAGATCCGCAACAGGTCCTTAGCCATTTCCCCGACCCGGCGCTGACCCAAAATGAACATAACCCCAAAAAACCACAGAAACCTGATGGTTGTTTGCAGCCCCCTACGAATAATGAAATACCAACATGGGCTTGCAAAAAAAACACAAACGATATGTTGCAGCCCCCC